AACAGTTGTTCCCAGATCTGATTCCTTGTAGAACGACCTTTCTGACTTCATCCACAGCTCTGCATTCTCTTTTGGTAAACACGACAGTCAACCCCTCATCACACAGTTGACTGATACTGATGAGGTTTGCTTGCAGTCCATGCACCAGATACACATTTACTAACTGAGGTTGACCGGCTTCCTTTGTCCTGCCCTTTCCTTGGATTGCACCAATGCTTCCATCACCAAACGTGACTTTGCCTCCTCTGATCTTTTTCAAACTCTGCAGAAATCCTTTGGTACCAGTCATGTGTCGAGAGCAACCGCTATCAAAGTACTATGTAGCAGATTGATCATCCTCCTCTGTTACCAAAGCCATGTTGCACTTGAAACCCAACCCCGGATTCCTGCCTTGCGCTGGTACTCCCCTCTGAGGTCTTCTTTGAGTAGCCTGTCTTAGGTCAGCTTTCCTAACCTAGATTTGGTTTCTGAACCCATTCCAGGTAAACCTTCCAAGTTCCTTTAGCTTTCTCACTTGCTTCCAGAACCTGTAGCAGTGATTTCTAATGTGCCCCGGTTTTTCACAGTAGAAACATCCACTCAGTCTCATAGGTAGCCCTTCTCTCTTCGATGTTGATGCAGCGGTATTACACTTCACCGTAACGTTTTGAGCCATGTTGTCTGCTTCTTGAGACTTAGTAGTACCTCCTGATACAAACTTTGTGGTACCTGTTTCAACCATGGTTCGGGCATCATAGCCCAAACCTCTACGCACTTCAGACCTCCTCCCATAGCTCAAGATCTGATCAAGCTGTTTAGTTCCAGCGAACATGTGAATCTTCTTGCGTTGCTCAATGAGCTCTCCTATCAGGTTGTTGGAGATTCCTTTCTCCTGACTTAAATTGTGCTCCAGTTGCTCTACCTTCTTTGCCAAGTTTAGCTTCTCTTTTATCAGTGTAACACTTTCTTGACTTAGTTTCTGAGCCGCTTCCAATTCTCTCTGCAGCTCTTCCATTTTTGCTTCAAGTCGAAGATTCTCCTTCTTCAAGTCAGCGTTTTCTTTTTCAATCTTGATCAGTCTCACGAACTTCTTTGTAGCTTTCAATCAGCTCATCACCAGCCCCAACTTCTGACTCAGCATCTGACGCAATCATATTTTCATCGAATTCAGCAATGCCTATGAATGAGACGAAGTTGTTTACTTCCTCCACAGTGTCTTCACCACTGTCATCTTCAGTATCTTCCTCTGCCAGCATGGATCTTTCCTTCCTGCGGTTTTGATCGTTCATACATTCCAGTTGTGTGTGACCAAAACCCTTGCATCCGAAGCACTGAATCTCCCTTCTCTTAAGAGGACATTCAGTCTTGAAATGCCCAATCCCTTTACACTCGTAGCATTGGACATCTCCCCTTCTTTCACTGGTTTCCTTTGTTCGTTTAGCTGGCACAACCTTTTTCTGACCATACGACTTCTCAGCTCGTCTTAGTGCCTTGTCAAACCTCTTTACCAGCAGCCCTAGTGCATCTTCACACTTTTCTTCCTCTGATGACTTGGTCTCGAGAACAGATGACAGCGCCAATCCCTTCTGCTTCTTCACACCATCAAGTTCCATCTCATGAGCCTGTAGCATCCCAACAATCTCTCCAAAGCTTAGAGATTCAGTATCCTGGTTCACACTCAGAGCTGACTTATACCCCATGAACCTTGAAGGAAGACACCTTAGAAACTTCTTCCCAAGAGTAACAGCCTCCTGAGCCAGAGAACTCAACTTGGAGCTGAAGTCGGCAATGGTTTCATGTTCTTCCATCTTCAAGTTCTCAAATCGCGAAGCCAACATGTTCTTCTTCGAGTTCTGCACTTTGGTTGTTCCTCCAAACTGTATATGTAGTATGTCCCAAGCTTCTTTGGCTGTCTCACATCTCTGAATTAGTTGGAAGGTCTCAACTGATATGCTACAGTGAATAGCCGTCAACGCCTTTGAGTTGTATTTGAACCTTTTCCTTTCGTCCTCGGTCCATTCTTCTTCAGATTAAGGCTCATCAGCTCCATCATCATTCTTCTTTTTTGGTTCTTCCAACATAACCAGGACCGACTTTCCATGCTAAAGGATCAATTCCTTTGATGAGTAAACGCATCCTTACCTTCCAGAAGCCGTAGTTTCCAGCATTCAAAATTACTTTTGAACTGCTCACAAGTTCTTGATAACTCTCCATCTCCGCAGGACCTCACCTGTTTGCAAGTTACAGATGACCGCCCTGATACCAATTGTAAACGCAAGAGTCTTAGATCAAGAACAACAACACAACTTAACATAGGGTTTTTCCTTTAACTGAACTTTATTGCTAGTAAATCTGTTAACACACCTTACAAGTTCGTAACACGATTTAGAACAGACTCAAGACACATCTTGATCTGTCTCTCTAGCCCTCTCTCTGTTCTTCGATCGATACTTGATCTCAGAACTTCCCTAGAAAACCCTTAACCCTTGATGCAGACTCTAATGCTTGAATCTCTCACCCTTATGCTAAGTGCTCTCTAGTAGTTGTGTTAAGCTCTTTCAATACTTCAACACCTCTACTTATACCTAGTAGACTAAGCGGCTATACACGCCAAAACCCTACACCCCAGCTTCCATTTTTGTCGCTTGGTGCATATTTCCTATTTCCTTAAACTTTTGCTTGTTTAAGGAAATCTTCCATTCTCCTGATCTGCTCCATTATTCCCATCCAGCTTTGCTTTCTTTCCAAGACTCCCATTCCTATTGGTCCAGCTCAGCTACTCATCCAGCTCCTCATTCCAAATGCTTCGCTTGTCACGTACTCCATGCTTGTGGCATTCCATCCTTCACTTCATCTGGTACAGCAACTGCTTCAAGTACAGCTACACCTTCATAGAGATCAGCATAACATGTGCTACCCATCAACATCAGATTTGAAGCTTCAAGAACAAGTATCGCATGATTCAATGCCTTTAAAAGACGTTCCTCAGTTGTTATCTCCGTCTGAATGCTTAAGACCATTTCTTTTCTACGTATGAATCGAATTGAGGTGCATTGTTATAGAATCCAGTCACCTGTAAAGTATCTCCAACCTTATACCTATGTAAACCTAGCAAGAAAAAAAAAGTGATTTTAAATTTAGTTTTGATGACTTGAGAGTAGATATAAGAAGAAATTCGTTTATATAACTCACCGAAATAATTTGTGACCAACAGCTCATAGTAGTAACCTAACTTAACGTTCATAAGATCAACAATCTCGTCCTTGTTTTCCTCATCAACCTGTATGAACTCGAAATAGGACATGTTGGGTAGACATGTGTATGACACATCTTGTGGTTTGCATAAAAGATCCACGTTTATCCCAAATATAGTTTCCGATGATGCATAGACCATGGAGAATATAGGAAGTTGGTTCGAGTAAAAATCCAATGTTGGAATGTACTAACCCATCTGTCCTGTAGCAATGCAATCAAGAAATTTGGCTTTGGGCCAAAGCCGTGTAATTATACCTTCCCATGATTTCTGGCTGCACTCGTAATCAACCAAATTTGCCAGTTCAGGATTAGGCTCTCCGAGGATGATAGACCGAATCCCTACAGCTACGGTCTGTAATCCACTCACTAACATGACTATATCGTATATTACTCACAGTTCTTTCCAGTGAGTTTCAAGAAAATTGATTGCATGAGCCAAGGTAGAGGCAAAGTAAGCACTTATACACGTAACTTCGTGTCTCTGGACGAGCCCACAGAGAAGATGACAATACATACTCTGCTTGTTATCTGGGCATAATGTGACATCATGGGGGCTTGTATACAGCTTTGATGATTGGTTCTTGAAATAATTTCTCGTCAAAAAGCTTGAAAGCACCCCTGAAACTGGCAAACCAGAAGGAGTTTTGGATAACGGTCTACAGAAACTAATCTTCATCTCCTTTTCTTGCTTGGCACCATCCACATACCTATACAGACCATAACTAAAGAGATTAATATTGGTTATGTTGATATTTCCAAAGGTCCCAAGATTGCTTTAGATTTATATGCTACCTCGTTATGAAAAAAAGTATGTTCTCTGAAATGGTACAGTTTTAAGTTTTTATTTCTAATATAGCACCATTAACATAAATTTTCAATAAAAACACAAATTTAATATTAAAATTTAAAATGATTCAAAGAGGAGGAATCTCCTTTAGTCAAGTGATAGATCAATGCGTCTCTCAGTTTGATTCCTAGAGAATGCGATTTCTACAGAGATAAGCTTATAAAAATCTCCAACATTGTGCAAGCAGAACCCGTTGATGGCAAAAAATGACACAAATCCCATTTCTATGAGAAATATAAACCATAAATTGGATAAATATATTTGTAACTCATTTAGGATAAACAAGTATTTTTCACATAGTAATTTATGCCTACTTTTAGAATTTTAATCTTAGTCTGTTCAGTTTGGGGGAAAAAAACTAATTTTTATGCTATTTTAGGATTTTTTTTTCAGAAAAAAAAATTGTATATAAAATTAATTACCTGGATAGAAAGGGGGACAAGAGAGCTTTGTATTGCAGCATGTTCTCAAAGAACTTGCTGTTCATGGGGAATATCTTATGTTTTCCTCCTGATGTCCCGGGACTACATAGTTCACATTAGAGTATTATGTTAGTTTGTAAAATTTTCTCACCAATCAAATCAATATTAACTAGAGTTTTACCTTTGGAAAAATGCAGTGATGGGATTGCCTGAAATGACATCTGATGGTTCTCCGTTGGCAACACGTTCGATATAAGGCTCAACATCATCATAAGACTACCTCCAATAGTAGTATTAGGAGGGGTTCTAATTGTTTTTATGATTTAAAAAAAATGTTTTAATGGTTAATAATGCTTGAGCCATCTCTTATTTTAGAGATTTAAAAAATTGGATTGAGCCCCATGTGGTGCAATTTGATTGGTAGCATGTTTATAATTTTTTTTGTTTTTTTTAATCAAACACTCTGATTAAAGTAGAGTCTTCAAATATTTTGAGAAAGAAAATATTCTATCTTCTTTCTTCGACTTCGGTGGTATCGAAGTATGGAGAAACGCGATTCCTTCTCCTCCGGCGTTTGATCTTGGCGTCGATGGCGGCGGCGACACAAGCTCCTTCTCCTCCGGCCGGCGTTCTGCTTAGAGTCCGGTGGATTCTTCTCATCGGAAACGCGACCGTGAACAGAAGAAGCGACTTGATTCATTGGCTTTGATTCATTGGATTATTAAAGAGGTAAAACTATTTCCTTGATTCATTGGTTTTGTTGTTAAAGAATTAGGCATGTGTTCGATTGATTTAGGGTTTAGAGGTAAAACTATTTCCTGCGACGATTTTGATTTGTGTGTATGTGGTGGATATCAATCATGTCGGATGCTCTGATCAATGGATTGGCTGGAGCTGGTGGTGGGATCATTGCTCAACTCCTCACTTATCCTCTCCTAATCAGGTTTTGTTTTTTGTTTTTTCTTTTGGTAAATCAATCTCCGTATAGGTTCACTTCTTTTGTTTCACTTCTTTTATAGTTTGCTTGTTTTTGTGCTTGAGATGAAAGTGTAATGAGTTCTGGTTTTCATGTAGATGTATCGGTTCACTGTGTTAATGGACATCAAAGTTCACCAAAGGAGTTAAACTGGCTGAGCTGGGTTTACTTAGCGAGATGAGTTAAACTGGGTTTCTAAGTTAGACATCATGTTTGTCTGAGCTTGTTTCTTTGTTTATCTTCTGAGCTCTTGTTTTTTGTACAAGTTTGATTGTGTCTGGATTGGATGCAGGGCACTAAGGATGCAGGGCACTTTTTGTTTGTTAAACTAAGAGTAACGTGATCTTGGTGTTTTAGAAGATTTTCACGGGTATGGTTGTTAAACTTGTATAAAATGTATATCTCAGAGATCCTCTATATAGTCTCACTTTTTGTTTCTTCTTCGCAGGGGCAATACCTCTGTATTGCAATGAAACAGATGGAGTTCCAGAAACAGAGACCATGGAGCAGTACTATATGGAAAGGGTATGGCTTCTCATCTGATATACTATCGAGTATGTAACTCTCTGGTTTTACTTGAACGTGTATTGACATTGTTGGGTAGAGAAGCTAGTAAGCTTTGAGATTGGTTAATCATTACCTTATTTGTATTATACACCATGTGATACTCTTTGTAAGTAAAAAGATGTCAAGTCTTTTGTTATGCATTTAAAAAAAAAAATTTTAAGAACCTCAAATAGGATTCTACCATTGGAAGGGCAAAAAATTAAAAATTCTAAATGAGACTCTTAAAACAAACTTTATCAAATTTATTATTAAAAATAATAATAAGAACCCATGAGAACATTTCACCATTGGAGATGGTCTAAGTGACGACCGGTACATTCTTTTTGAAAAGCTCTTTATCAAAGCTCCCGTGGAGAAAACGTTTGAGATATCCAGTGTGTGCGTTAAGTGTGAGTATCCCCTTTAAGACATCGTCTTGTATTTGCTTTGCATTCGATGTTAATGTCTCCAGATCCATGAGATCGAAACTTAGACTCATATTTGGTTTGATCTTTGATATCACATGGAGTTAAAAGGTTTATTTATATAAATAAAAATTTCAAGGGACGAGTAATTAAATGAATTGATTTGTTTAATGTATTAGTTAGATGTCATACCCTCTTTTTGTCGTCATATATCTCAAACTTTTTCTCCACTGAAAATATCTTAATTTTGATTAAGCTGTCTTCAAATCAAATCAAATGATTTATAAGCAGGTAGAAATGATTTGATAATTTGATTTGTTGGTAAAATAAATATAAATTAGTGATAGCTTAATCCCAAGCATTTAGAAAATGGTTTGATTTGTTTAAGTAGAGTAAGTATAAACTAATGACAGAATAATATAACCTCCTAACTAACTCGCATATGATTAACATGTATGATTGATAAAACCAAAAAAAAAGTGGTTAACATGTATAAGGTATAAAAAAAGAAGAAGATATATTAGTAATTACATACTAATATTGGTATAACTAACTGACTAGATAATATTCAAGATGGGATATATGAAATGGAAAGAAATAAAAATATGTAGTAGCTCAATAAATTCAACTAGAATTGTTTTTAGAGATTGTGTGTCAGAAATTGAATTTGATTCTCAACGGCAAAAAAAAAACTATTAAATTATGGGATTATGGAAGATAATGGTTAATGCCTAAACCTCTATGGTAATGTAGTATCGATACTCGGAGAAGTTGCGGTTCAAGTAGGAGAAGCCAAGAGATCGATACAAAGATATCGATATTGCCCCAAAACATGGCCATTTTTAACATGTTTACCTTTAGTACACTTGTCATCTACTCTCCTTTCGTAGATACCTTATCGTGTATCAGTGTATGTCTATACTATGTTTATTTTGTAATATATTTATACTCACACACAACGCCTACTTATATGTACATGCATTTTACACATGTGTCCACTTCGTTCCACTTCCACGAACTAAGGTGAGAGGAAAAGCTATGTACAAAGTTCTTCCCACTTATGTACATGCATTTACACACGTATCCACTTCTATGTATAAATTAAATTCTCCCATTTATGTACATGCGTTTACACATGTGTCCACTTCGTCCCAACTCTATGTACTAAGTAAATTCACCCACGTATGTATGCATTTATACACGTATCCATTTAGTTCCACTTTGACGGAGAGGAGAGATTGGAGAAAATCGCATTTTAAACCATTAAAATAAAAACTAGTATATTAAACTTTGGTGATATTTCATTCACATTTTAAACTTTCAAACAAATTATACTAACATCTTAAATTTCTAAACTAGTTATTTTGTTTGTGCTGGCATCAAATTTAAAAACGTGCATATTTTTAGTTTTCTAAATTAAAACGTTAATTTCTTTTTTTATATATGTATTAAAAATAAGTTTTAGAAACTTCAAAAATAAAACCTTTAAATCCATTTGGGATTAGAGTTCGTAACATTTTAAAATTCAGAACCGAAAAGTGAAAGAACGACAGCGTGAAATAGTGAAAGAATCCCAACGAAAGAAAGATTTGTTTTGTAGTCGAAATGGGGTAAACACTACAAGAAAACAATCGTTTTCCAACGGTTTGTTATGATGGTTTATAAATCATCGCATTATATAACGTTTTTACGATGATTTTACGAGGAAAAAACAAAACGTCGTATTTCGTCGTAAAAAAAAATCGTCGTAACTTCAACGTATAATTTACGACGCTTTACGACGATTATACATCGATAAAGAGAGATTTGATATTTATTGTAAAATCGTCGTAAATTGGATGTAACATTACGACCAATATACGACGATACAAATCCGATGTACAGTTACGACGAATTTACGTCGACAAAGAAGGTAGGTGAAGAACATTTAAAACATGTTTACCTAACTAATGTCGATAAAATATTTTATCGCATAAAATCGTCGTAATATGAAGGTTGGATGTAAAAGCGATGTAAAAAATCGTTGTAAAAGCGTCGTAATATCCGAAATTTTGTTATAAATACATCTTCATTCCTTCTTTCATTCACAACACATCATCAATCAAACATAAGAGCATCATCATCCTGGAGACTCATTTTAGGTCTCTTAAACTTTAGTATAGTGTTGTAAATCATAATATAGTGGGTTGTCAATTGCTGGAAATCCAAATTAATTAGTAGTAATTTCTTTGAAAAAAGAAGTAATAATATTAAAAGGTTTAGTCCATTTACGCGTCTACACGTGACACAAGAGACCGTCTCTTTTATTGTCTAAACAATAGAAAAATATGATATTTTTGAATTATTTTCAAGATGTCTATATACGAGCTAAGAAACTGGATGTATATGCGTAAAGATTCAGATGGGGCGTTGACAGAAGAATTCAAGAACGGGTTAGAAATATTCATGTATCAGGCCACAGATATGGAGAGAACGAAAGATAGCGGGTAGATGTTTTGTCCTTGTTTGAAATGCAAGAATACAAGGTATACACTAACCAAAACCGTGTGGACGCATTTATTAAATATATGGTTTATGCCGCAATATTTTGTTTGGTATCTACATGGAGAAGGATATGGCAATAATACTCATGGGAATGCTGGTAGTAGTAGTAATTATCAAAGTCATGTTGATTTTGATGAATCGAATTATGGTCATCAACCTAATCAGTATCAATCTGATCAAGGTCTAGATCATGATAGGATGCATGAGATGGTGACTGATGTATTTCATGAAACACATACTGGTAATGCTGTTGAGGAGCCTAATGTAGATGTCAAATGATTTTATGATTTGTTAGGCAATGTTAATCAGCCAATCTACGAAGGATATAGAGAAGGTCTGTCAAAATTATCGTTGGCAGCTAGGATGATGTCAATTAAAACAGATCATATATAACCTGGCTGAGGTTTGCATGGATAATTGGGCTGATTTTCTGAAATAGTATCTACCGGAAGATAACTTGGCAGCGGCAACATACTATGAAATACAGAAGTTGATTTTTATTCTTGGTCTACCTTCTGAGATGATAGATGTATGTGTTGACAATTGTATGATTTTTTGAAAAGATGATGATCAGCTGGAGGAATGTCGATTTTGCCAAAAACCAAGATACAGGTCGCAAACTGGTGGGCGTAAAAGGATAGTATATGAGTTCGCAAACCAAGATACAGGCCGCAAACCAAGATACAGGTCACATTTCTGCCATATCTCCGAGTTTGAGCAACATGAATCGCATGGTTAGCAGTAGTTAAAGTGGCTCCGAGGGGCAAGATTGTAGGGGTTGATGATGTTCCACTGCAACAAGACACTTGCGTAGATCTGACTGAACCAGATGTTGATGAGGAGACTTTCTTAATTGACCCTCAGAACAGGCAAGTTGAAGATCTCCCTGATGATACAGAAGAAGAAGGTGATGAGTTTGCTGAAACTGATGATGATGATGACGATTTGGCGGAAGACGACGCTGATGATGACGAAGTACTAGAAGAAGATGAATCTGATTGATTTTCATGCATGTTTTTAGGGAATGTTTGTTATTATTTAATTTGTAATTGTGTTTGTTTGAATTTTTTTTAATGATAATTATAACCATTACGACGGTTTTACGATAATTTTTGTAAACCATAAACCTCAAGTTTAGGTCTTATACATGAATAGTATATAAGTATTACGACGACTTTACGACCATCCGTCGTAAAATCGTCGTATGTTTACGACGATTTCCCAAAACCGTCGTAAAATCGTCGTAAGGTTGAAATCCAAGATTTTGAATCTTTTATATCTGATTGGTTTTTAGCTATTTCACAAATGTTTTTGATAGGTTATCTTATTTGATATGAAAAATATTCAATCTGATCAAAATCAGAAATTTGAAAAAAATCATACGTATTTACAAGTTCATGCATATTTTTTGTAAATGTTAAGTAAAAGGTTATAAATTAGCTAAGATGATTTAAATATTTGTTATCTCATGTACTAAATCAGTCATACATATAAAGTTATGAACCTATTGTTATATATTAGTTTAAAATAAGCTTTGCGTTGTCCTTAATGCAAAAAGCCTTTTGATAGATTTAGGGTTTGATAATTTTTTTAAAAACCATCGTAAAACCGTCGTACAAGCGTTGTAACATTACGACGATTTTACGACGAATGTTCATTAAACCGTCGTTAAACCGTCGTAACATTAATGATTATCATACATCTGACAACCGCCGGATTTGCTCCAGCTCCGAGGTACGAGAGTATAAATGTTGGCCTATTATAACGGTTTTACGACGGTTTAATGAACATTCGTCGTAAAATCGTAGTAATGCTCAAACGCTGTGAACAGGACACGTGTCGTGTCAGTAATTATATTAATTTAATTTTGTAGATTATTCGAATGGTTCCCCGGACCAAGAGGTTCCACTACCGGGAGATGGTTGATCCAGACGCTACCGCTCCATCCGCCTCAGCTACGGGGTCCGCCATCCCGGAGTCCTCGGGAACACAACGAACGGTTTTACAACCGGTCGTTGTACCACAGCCTGCACTGCCTCCACCACAACCAGCCAAACCAGCAGCACCAGTACCAGCCGCAGCCCCGATACAGCCTGAACTGTATGTCCAATTTACGGTTAAGGATCTTCTACGACAACCGGGTCGTGGAAGTAAAACTCGATCCGGATAGAGCCCCGGGGACATTTTGGTATGAATTTTTTTTTCT